ACTATATTTTGGAAAAAAGAAGAAGAACCAATTCCTATGCCCCACAAATAACCCAGAGATGCATTTTAAATACAAGCACACATTCTACTCATGTAAAAGCATGCTGATTCCCGGACCGTCCACAGGCTAGATTTAGAAGGCAATTGGGCTGGATCCAACCCCTGGGCCTTAGTTTGCCTACCCATGCCTTAGACTGAGCCCTATATAGGCACAGTAGCTCTGTCCCAGTTGCAAGTCCCACCTTCACTGAAAGATGCCTCTTTGGTTTAAGAGGCCCAGCCTTGCTCCAGGAGTCTCTTACTCTGACAGAGCAGGGGAAACTTTGGCTGTACTGGGGCTTCCATGATAGAGTCAAAGGGTGGCAATGTGACAACTGGTAGACCTTGAGACTCTTAACCTCAGGGTCATGGGTTTGAGCCCCACATTGGGCAAAAGATTCCTGCATTGCAGCAGGTTGGACTAGATGATCCTTGTGGTCCCTTCTTACTCTACAGTTCTATGACACTATGACATCCTTGGACTAGAAGGGCACTGGCACTGTGGACTCATCTTCTGGAAGTACTTCCAGAGTTAGTCTTGGGTGCAATTTCCCTTCTGATTCCTCATCCTCTAAAGAAGGAGAATCCGACCCCAGGGTCATGACCATCAAAATGGGTGGCATTCAATGCTTGTCCTACACAGAATAGACACACTGAAGTACCTAACTAACTTAGGTTCATTGACTTTAACAGGTCTGCTCTGAATAGGGCTTAGCTGCATACAACCCAGAGTCAGTTCCACAAAGTACAGAGAGCAGCAATCTTGAAACTGGCAGAGTAAGTGAATAAATTTAGTAGCACGTAGGAGGATTTTAATGCATAAAATGTAGTGCTGGAATTTATCCAGGGGGATAAATCTTTTGGAGTCTCACCAGAATGACAGTCTCATGCTTCCTGTAGTTACTACTGCACCTTGCTCTCTTGAGGAACTTGTGAGGTTAGCAGAAAGGGGTTATGTTGCAACTAAGTCCTAAGCCAAACGCTTCCTGCAAAGGAATTCAATGGAATCCCATGGTAAGGCACTTCAGAATGCTTCCATGCCAATCTGGCCTTCAGCTTCCTCCAAGAATAGAAAAACAATTCAAATCACAGATGTTCTCCAATGGAAAAGATTATTAGATCTGCTATCATGACCCACTGGCCAACATCATTCTACCCCCATAATTACAAATCCTGCAGCCCTGAAGTTTTTAATTGCGTTGATACTACAGAGACACAATTTCATATGCCACAAGGAGTTGTAAGGAGGGCGGAATCCCTCCAAAACGGTTTTGTGCAAAGTTATCTGCTGTCTAAGCTTTCCCAGCCCATTAATATTTCACTTTCATATAAGCCCTGGACTGGTTTTGGAACATGCTTCCTTTTTATCCCCTTTTTATATATAAGCAAGAGAAAGTGTTTGAAGTAAGTGCTGGTAAGAAACCTCCCCTAGTCTGTCTCTCTTCCCACCCCCTCATCCCCCTCCCCCCACACACTTGCTTTCTCCACCTCAGTCTCTTGAGGATTTTAACACTTCAAGTACAACATATACCAGGAAAAGAGGAGGGGCGGAACAGAGACGAATGTGTCTAGCTTTGAATCGCCTCTTAAAAGAGAGACAGCTTTTTTCAATTGTTTTGTAGTCACATTCAGCTGTGAAAATGACGAAAAAGGAAATCGGCGAAAATAAGCGCGATTACTACATGCTGTCAGGCTGAAAGGGGAGCGTAGCAAATACAGCAGAGCCTCAAATTTACAAAACACTTTGTGAATGGAAGCAGTTTGTAAGCCTCTTGCCCTGGCAGTTCCAAAATCCCCTACCCTATTACCTTGCATCTCCACATCCTCCCGTTTGGAATGTCACCCGGGCATTGCCAGTGCTCGCTTTCCTCATCTACCTGGAACCCCTCCTCCCCAGTTTTTTTTTTGGGGGGGGGGGCTTTCCTAGCTCTCTATGAAGATGGGAAGCAGTGCCGGATTACCAAATAGGCTGAGCAGGCACCGGCCTATGGGCCCCACACCTTTCAGGGGCCCCACGAAAAGGGACCAAAATAATATTGATTTGATCATGAAAGAAAATTACAATCAAGCTTGCTTAGTTCAATGCTATCCCACTAGAGCACATGCACAAGCCCCCCACCATCAATTTCAGCTGCCTAGGGGCCTCCCACAGGGTTTAATCTGGCACTGTTTGGAAGCCGCCTTATACTTAATCAGACTATGGGTCCATCAAGCTCAGTCCCGACTGGAAGCAGCTCTCCAGAATTTCCATCAATGGCCTTTGCTAGCCCTACCTGGAGATACTGGGGATTGAACCTGGGACCTTTGGCAGGCAAAGCAGATGCACTACCAGTGAGCTACAGGCCCGTCCTTTCTCTGCTTCATCTCATTAAGGGCACTAAAAGCTACCTTATACCTGGGCAGGCCATTTGTCCTTCTGGGTCAGTACTGTCACTTGGAAGTAGCTCATCAGGGTCTCAGACAGAGGTCTTCCCTGCCACCTGGTACGTGATCTTTAAAAACAAGCAAACCTAGAGATTGAATCTGAAACCTTCTGCATTCAGAGCATGTTCTTTATACCACAGAGCAGCGGTCCCTCCCCCTCCATTTTATCCAATATGCTTTCTGACCTCCTGAAAAACACCCCCACGCCGCCTGATTCACAAAGGGGCTGATGTGGCAACAGTTACTGCATACTGAGCAGGGTGAGCAATACTGCGACGGAGAAATTTGATAGATTAGTCATTTTGAATCTCCAGGCTTCATATATCTCCGAGGTTCCAGCAGAGCGAAATCCGTTCCACAAGAATGTTCAGTGGAACTCTGCTCCGCCATGGGAAAAGAAAACCGATCCTCTCCACTACTTGGCAAGATGTCTCTCCTTAATGGTGTTGGGAAAGTACAGTCGCCAAAGAGCACCACCCTCGTGGCTCGTGTTAAGATGATGCATTACGAGACACCACTGGGTAATGCTAAGTCTCTCTTCCCCCTTGAAACTGCACGTGCAATTACCCTGCCTGCTGCAATGTCTAGCTGCTCCCATACTCCATGGGAAATGGCGCAGGTAGAGCATCATAGTTCAGAGTACGAAAAGGAACCATCCAGGAACAAGTGCGTCATCACCCGTCGACACCGTCTCCCCATTCAAATATTATTCCAGGAACTCACTTCTCTGTAACAACCCATCAGCCTGAATTTGCTTCATGTTATGTTGAATGAAATAGAATGAAAAACTGGAACTGGGCAGTGAGGACTTTTATTTGACACACCACACTGGGCCGAGACTCAGCCCCAAGTAACACCTGGGCAAAACAGGCGTGAGCCCCACAAACAAAGCACACACACACACACTTTTTCATGCTGCCTTCTGCACTGGGAGCTGCCCTACTTCCTTGGGGTCACAATGCCCTTCTGGTGACAAAGTCTCCACTGACCATTCTTCCTGATGCCACAACTAGCTGGCCGCCCGCCACAAATCATGACCGGTTCTGCCTCTTCCACCACCATCCCCATGCACACCGCAATATGACACATGTACCCCAAGCATGTCTTATTGCATGGGCAGTGAACGGTTCTCTGGCAAATAGCTCGATAGCTGTGATGAGTGTGGCTGGCGCAGCGATGGCAGGGGCAAGAGGTGACAGTGTCTAGTGGGGGCGGGGAAGGTGCCATGTGGCAACGCTGGAGAATCCACATGGCTCTCCCAGCTGCGAATCTCTCTCCCTCTATATATATATGTATGCATGTATGTTACTGCTGCACAGCCGCTGCGGAAAGGTGGGAACCCTCTCCCCAGAAAACAGGCGTCTTCTTCCCCTGCATAAGTCCACGATGAAGCCTTGCAGCCTTCCACGCGCGCACACCCTCCTCGCCCCTTCCCCAAAACTGCACCGCCACAAAGCGCCCTGCCCTCGCCCTAATCCCAGCCGCCGCTGCGGCCACTGCCGACTTGCAGGAGAGCCCAGCTCGGTCCAATCCCAGCGAACACGCCTCGCGCGTACAGGAAGAAGGCAATGCGGCTCTCGGCGAGCCCTTCCTCGTAGCCGCGGCTGCCCTGCGTGCAATAAACATACCGGCTTCTAGCTCTCGCCTTCTCCTCCTCCAGCTCCTTTCCTCCCAATCAGCTGCCGCTACCGCCTGCCCAGCCCCGGATCTACCTGCAGGACTCGAAGCGAGCTTTTAAAAAAACAGAAAAACCACAGTACACAAACCAAGCCTTTGCACCACTTTCCAGCCCTCGATCCCGTGTGCACTTGTTCCTCCAGTTCCGCGATCCGCCCACCCAAGGCAAAATCGCGACCACCACATCGCAAGCACGGGAAGCTTCTTCCCAAAATAACGCAGCCCTCCTTGGCTGTGCGGGCAAGCCTGGAAGACCCAGAGGAGCTCAGCCTCCCTCCTCCTCCCTTCCTAAAATCCTGACCTTCCATCTCCTAGCCGCCCCCTTCCCCGCCGCCCTATGAGAGGGTGTCTTCCCTGCTTTCCCAAACCGAGCGGCGCCACGAGTCAGGGGCGCATGGAGGTTATTTACTACCTGGTTGGGCAGCTGGTGGTTGTCTTGGGGGCGCTCCTGCCACGGAGTGCTGGGGTGGGGGGCGAAGTCTCGTCCTGGCCGCCCCGCTCCCTACCACCAAAGTGGTGGTTGGTGAGGTCCTTTTAATTTTCCCATATGCGCCCACGGAGAAGAGAGGTGGGGGGGAAGCCAAAAAAAACCCCGCACGCACACACCCCAGCCTTGGTCCAGGGCTAGCAGCAACAGCAGCAATTAATCCAGCAAGAGGCAGCCAGAGCAGCGCAAAAGCTCTGCAGCAGAAGAAACCAACGGAGCTTCCCATGCACTCATGTTGTTGCTGTTGAGAGTGCAGAAGAGGATACGCAGCAGCAGCAGCAGCAGGCGGATTGGCAGCCGGCGCTGCTTGTGGCAAGGAAAGACGGGGAGAGGAGAAGGCGGCGGGGAGGGACGAAAGGGGAGGCGCTTGCGGTGCGTCTGGAGAGAGAGTGTGGGGCTGTGCGCGCCGCGTTGCATGCGGGGTTGCGCGGTGCCACCTCCTCGCTGGGAGTGCATTGCGGAGCCGGCTTGGGAGGGGAGAGCAGCCGCCAGCGCAGGATCAGCCTCTTAAGAAGGGGATTGACAGGAAGGATTTAAGAAAGCCTCACCTTTCTGAGCTCTGAGTCAGCAGAGAGTGGAACAGGTTCATTTTTATTATTATTTTTTGCTCTCTTCTTCCTGCTTCCTGGCCAGCCTCCTCCTTCCCTTTTCTTGAAGCCACAGCAGAAGCTTCAACAGCTGCAGAAGAAACCAAGACCAGCAAATCAGTGTAACCCGTGTGTGTGTGTGTGTGTGTGTGTGTGTGTTTGCGTGTTTGTTTTTTCTCTGTCTGCCTTGGTTTGCATTTTCCTTTTAGCGTGCTAAAATCAGGAGCTTTGCAAATCCTTAAAAGGGGGGGGGTAACACCTTTTGGGCAGCTTCACTTCAGGAGTGAACTCTGAAATAATGCAGATTAGTTGCTCCTTAATAGGCTTGCTCCAGTCAGGGTGGTTATAAAAAGGGTTTAGGTGTGTTTGTGTGTTCCTGGAATACTCTTAATAATCCACATTATAGATTGCGAGTTGAGGACTAGGCAGGGGTTAAGTGAGCTGTTCCAGAATAAAAGATGGTCATTTTGTGTGTGGCCAGGGAAACCTGAGGATGCTGGCTATTCCAGACTGGTTCAGATCCAGTAAACCTGAAAGGTGCTGGTTGTTGCAAATTAGCTCTGGCATAAAATGGTATGACCTTCTTGTGTCCTTGCCATTTCATTGTCAAGGTCACCTGGAAGGAGCTGAGGCTCACACACTTGGGCTGCTATACCCAGAGCTAGCCTTACTCTGCAAGAAGCCTCACTGAACTTCTTGGGTTGACAGATATTTACAGGATTGTACTGCTGGTTTATGCAGCGAGTGGCCATTCTCTCCGGCATTGATCTGTTGTGACCATGAAGCCCAATGCAGCAACCACAGCAGTTGTTTGGGATCAACTGAGTGAAAAGCTATATTCTTCCCTTCTGCCCCACCATGTTCCATATTTTGTATGAAGGGCAGCCTCAAAACTGGGAGGAGAGGGTAATGGAGTTTTTGGAATCAATTCATCCAGACTGCATACACACCATACATTTAAAGCACACACATACTCTCAAACAATATTGGGAGTTTAGGTTTACCCATCAGAGCTACAGTTCCCAGCACCTTTAAACTACAGTTCCCAGGATTCTTTGACAGGGTGGTTAAATGTGCTTATGGTATGGAAACAGAGTGAAAAGCTGTGGTCTTTTTACCCTTCCATATTTTGCATGGACAAAAAGTCTCAAAATTTGCAGGCGGGGGCAGGGCGGGTTGAATGCAACAGATTTCCCACTCCTTCTCTCCAAAACCTTGAATGAAACAGGTGTGTGTGTCTGTGTGTTTTGCAGGCCGTGCAAGGGGAAGTGAAAATTACTAGACAACAGCCTCTGTATGACCTTTGGATGTTTACTATCCTTGTCTTCTCTCTCTCTTGGGGTTTTATATGCGTGTGTACATAAGTGAAGGAGGTGAGGTGGTTAAAGGGTTTGCTGTGGTGGTGTTTTTTTGTGTGTTTTTTAAAGCCTCCTTAACCAGGAAGCAGCTACAAGAAAAGCTAATCAAACGCCAGCTGAGGAAAAGTGCACTAGTTCAGCGCATTCAATAATTATCACCGCATATGCTCCCGGCACGAATGTATTGGTATATGTTGCTACCAATATTGCTCCTTATTCCAGAGCAGGCATGGACAATTTCTGCATTTCACAGACTAAATATGATGTGAGGGATCCATGGTCAGTTCTCCAGATATATTTTCCTTTGCCTAAAAACAATCCAGGAGGAAGGGGAGAATGGGGTCAGGAGGAATAGGGTTGTGGTTGGGAGACCAGTTAATCCTTTCCCCACACATTTCCCTGTCCGTTCCCCCCAAATATTATTAACCATGAAGAGAATTTTTTTGAGAATTTTCTTTTTCTCACCCACCTCCCCTCAGAAAATGAAAGCCATAAAAAGCTGTTTTTAAAAAATCCCCCAAGTATTCCTCACCATCTTTTTTGTTTGTGTGTGATGGCCACCATATTTTCCTCACAGTGCCTTGGAAGGACTCCAGGTCAAGGACATTGTGGAGGATTCAAAATGGCGGCCATTTTGCTTCTGTTGTCATTGGCAGCAGCAAAAAACAACGTTAGGTTAAAAATATAAAAAGTTTGCTACTCCCACGGCTAATGGTGAGCCCATACACACACATCCCCCCCCACACACACATTCCCAATAAATGGTTGAAGAATTTCTCCTCAGTCTGGAGAAAGGTGGTAAAATCACCCACCCAACTTCTTTGCCCACTAATAGGACAGAGAATTTCAAGAGGCCATTAAGAGCACAGTTCTAACAGGTACTTACTTGATTTTACCTCAAGCCTATTAGCAGCTTGAGAAGACTGATTGCAGTCGTGTTCCTAGTTTCCTGAGTATTAGCCCCATGAAACTCAAGAGGACTTGCTTTTGAGGAGACATGTAGAGGATTGGGCTCCTTATAGTCAGGGAATTAGCCCAGACAGAGAAAAGAAATGGCTAAAAAAACCAAAAACCCTTCCCTCAGCATCACCTCTTAAGCCAAAATACCCTTCCTCCAGTAGCACCTTCCACCATTCCGCCAGTTCATCTCTGGGAGGAATGCAGGCAACTGTATTGTTCTTGACATTTCCTAACCTCCAACAAGGCTATTTATCTATAACACTTGTATATCGCCTTTTCTTCTGGGGTCCTGTACATGGTTCTCCACCCCTCCCTGTTTTATCCCCTCAGCAACCCTGCGAGGTAGGTTAGCCTGAGAGGTTGGCCCAAGGTCATCCGGTAAGCTTCACGGCTGAGTGGGGATTTATAACCTAGCCTCCCAGGCCCTCATCCTGCACTCTCAACTTTTCTACCACATTGGTTATCAGAGGGAGAAAATGCCACAGAAACAGTGTGGGTGTGAATGTGTGTTTAATAATAATATTTTTTTTCTTTTTAAAAGAAACCTCCCCTCCACTCCCTGACTTGGCCACCATCACAGGCCATTTTGAACAAAAGAAGTTACATGTAATTTGACCCCCGTCCCCATGAGCCATTCTGTTCTCCAGAGATTGGTCCGGGGGCCACCAGTGTACTTTCCAGCTCACTCCAATTGTTTCATAGGTGCTCAGAATGTATAATAAAATGGGTGCTGCTTAACAGTACAGTCATACCTCATGTTACGTTTTTTCAGGTTGCGTCCCGCAGCGACCCGGAAGTACCAGAAAGGGTTACTTCCAGGTTTCACTGCAGTAGCGATAAATCACACTTCGCGCATGCGCACAAGCACCAAATCACGCTGCGCACCTGCACAGATACAGCGCTTCAGGTTGCAGGCTTTTCATCTTGCAAACAGGCCTCCAGAACGGATCCTGTTCGCAACCAGAGGTACCACTGTAAAAGTTTCACAACGATAAAACATGTGCACCCAGGTATGGCCAAGGTAATAGTTTTTGGTGTTTTTTGCAGGGGTAGGGCATTCATGTAAAGATGTTAAATTTGACAAATCTTCCTTTCAACCCTTGAACAGTCATTTTCTTTTCCTTGTTTTTGTTGGCATCTGTCTGTCTCGAGAGACAATGGAGTACGCCTCTGGGGGTGCAGTCAAACCGCTGCATTAGCAGCATCTCAGTGACCTCCCTGGGGCACAAGCCTGGGCAGTATTTGTGGAGGTCCTGGGCTGCCTAGACAACAAGACCTCCATCTCAGCCTCACTGATGTGGCCCAAAAAAAAGCACAGCAATACATTTGGCACCAGCTTGCCTGTCACCCAAGGTGCCACCCAAATGTCTTTTTGTATAGGGTTTACTCCTCAGCCCTTACTTCTCCTGAAGATATCTGGCAAGGCAATAGAGGTTTAGGATCAGAGTTTTCCTTCTCCTAGAGGGGCTACCTTTCCAGGTTGATGAGCCCCATCTGCCCCTCACTTCCCTCTACAGCATTTGTAGTAATCACCTTCTTGACCATTGGACCTACTATTAGTCTCATCTGCTCAATCCACATGCAATTTGGGGAATTCCCTTACTCACTGAGGGTTTGAGGCACATTGGCTACCCTCACCTGGTTTAGCCAGCCAGCTAAAGCATGCATAGGCCAACTTGGCCCTCCAGATGTTTTGAGACTAGAGTTCCCATCATCCCTGACCACTGGTCCTGTTAGCTAGGGATGGTGGGAGTTGTAGTCCCAAAACATCTGGAGGGCCAAGTTTGCCTATGCCTGAGTTAAAGCCATTCCCGGTGTGTGGCCTCTGTCACATGTTGACAGCTTCCAGGAGCCACAGGTGAGAGCTGAATGAAGAGTGGGGACCAAATGTACACAAATTACCCCAGAAGCAGCACAATGCGTCCCCCAACAGAGGTACTGTCCACCCCTTAACACACCATATGCCCTTCTAAGCAAATAAAATTTGTTATAACTACCCCCGATCTGGAGAAAATCATTTTCTTCTTCAGTTGGTCATCCATCCCTGTTTTGAAAGCATCGCCCCACATTCCACAGCATCAGCGACCAACGTACCAGAATGGATGTCATTTATTGGAAATGATTTTTTTCTTCATAGAACCGCACAGCAACTTCCTTTCATTACGGAAATTTGGTCGGGCATTTCTGGATAGCGAAGAAATAAGATACGAGTATATCATAGTCATTAAAAAGAACAAGATTTTCCACTGAAAATCCAAACCAAACCAAGCTGAAATACGTGAAACTACATGTCCTTCCCCAGTTACCACCGTCTCTTCACCATTTCTCATCCCCATTGGAGTTCAGATTGTAAGCTCTTTGTGGCAGGGCCCTAAATATTTTTGGTGTTTGTTGTTCTGTAAAGTTCCACAGCACTGACCCTGATCTAGCCAAAGCTAGTCATACCTACATTCTGCCAACATGAATGGAATTGAACCCAACTATGATTAGGTTATAATGTTGGCCAACATTAGAGGGATGTTGTAAGGATCACTGACATCATGAAGCGCTTTGAGCAATGAACAGCCCAATTCCTACCATGTTTACTCAGAAGCAATTCCCCTGAGTTCAGTGGCATTTATTTCCCAGTAAGCACATTTAAAAATAGCCTCCTAGGAAAAAATGCTATAGATGCAGTGGAATCTGGTGTGATGAAGGGCAAAATAGATGGTCTTTTATCAGGCAAGCTGTCCATGCTTGTCCAGCTACAAATATTGCTTTGTGTATTTTGTAGTTCTTGTTGTCTTAGACCAACTTAAAAGCATTGCCTTACACCAAACTGATATAGTGCAGAAGATTCCTGGAATGCTCAGCAAACTTTGCCTTCTCTGTTTCATATACTCAAATGTTGCATATACTGCAATAATTAAATAAACAAGGGCAGTAGTGAAAATTATTTAAGTTTTTTTAAAAATAAAACAAAGTTTGGATGTTTTTACCATTGTGAATGCAGATGGCAAAGACAATGAGCTCAGAGTCTCATTTAATCGTGATTCATAAATTAATGTTATCTTTCATCATTCCAGATTCCACGCAGTCTGTTTGCAATTCGAGCTCTTGCACTCAGGAGTGGGGGTGAGGGAAGGAAGCTTAAAAAAAAAAAAATTAAGAAAAGGAGAAGTGATATTTGTTTGTTCTCAGTTTTTGCTAGTTGCTGAATGAGTCTCATTTTGCAACCCTGAATGAAATGAATCATTCCTGGCACAGGAAAATCACACCTACTCGGGTCAATTGCTTACCACAAATGATTGTGTATGATTTCTCAAGGCCCTGATCATTCTGAGATTGTATGTCTAACTTTTATGCATCTCAGTACCCTAGTGACTTCATTAACTTTACATTTGTACTGGAATTTTCAGCTGGAAGGAGGGGGTGTTATGTTTGTATATTCTTTTGATCTGTTTAATAAATGTAAGAGAGATGTTTAAAATTGGCAACAGTGCCGCATATTTAAAATTGCATACAACTTTATTGTGCAGAAACAGAGACAATTAAAATGGACCTGCATGCTCACCTCATGGCAAAGTAGCAGTAATGGAATCCCCGTGGCAATGCTGCTGGCTATCTCATCATTTTCTGCAATATTCACCCACACATTTATAGGTATTTATTATGTAATTATTGGAGATGTTGGCTAAATTCTCACCCAGGTGGTCAGTCTGCTGTGAGCTGGAGCCCCCGTGATACTCGTCAAAGTTCAAAGACAATTATTCCATTAAATGCCAACTGTTAGGGAGAAACATCTGTGCCCTCAAGTCCCACTTAAGGGATTCCAATAGGTATCTGGCTGGCCACTTACGAAACAGGTTGCTGAATCAGATGGACCGTTGATGTGATTCAGTAGGATTTTTCCTGTGTTCTTACGGCAGAATATTACTCAAATACACACAACATCTCTGTACACAGAAAAGTATCATGTCAGGGGAAAAGCTAGGCCAGAACTATTTTCCTTTATCTGCTACCTTTCTGTTTGTTTTTGTCTTTGTTTTGCATTTTAATATTTATTGTGTCCAAGAAAGATCTTTTAAATATTGCTGAGAAATCCTCCCACTTCCTAAATATGCTCTGTTTAGGCACGATACTGCATCTTCTTCTAATGTTACAAGAAGGGCTTGAAAGCCAGTTGCAGAAGTTACTGCTCACTTAGCTTCTGGTTCTTCTAAAAAGCCCACATGCATTACTTCTGACCAGGGATTTACACAATGCATAGCTAAGGTATGCAATTATGTGACTTAACCAATCTACGGTAGTTCCTTTTGACTATTCTAGTCCAAGGGATCAGGGCTCTATCTGCAGTTGTGTCCTGAAAAATGTAGCTTTTCAACATGGCACTCAAAACTACAATTTCAAAGAATGTAGTCATTTGGCAACAATAATTTCAACATGATATAAAGACTCTCTCTCTCTCTCTCTCTCTCTCTCTCTGTGTGTGTGTGTGTGTGTATGTATATTTCTTGATGGTTCCAAGGTATTAAAGGAGTTGTAATATTGTTTATGTTGTGTTGTTATGCTGAAAATCATTTAGTGGGACTGCAAGCCCATATATAAATGAAATAGAGTGAATTGTTAAGAGTTGTGGATATTATGGAGGCATACAAACAGTATTTTCAGAACACTACAAACTGGCATGAAGTGAATGGTTGAGTTGTCAATATCACAGGAAAAAATGCAAACCGGTGTGGAAATGTGGAGAATTGAACTTAAGACTGAAAAAATTAGTAATGGAAATTGACAGATTTGCCTTTCCCCATCTGCATCCTGCCCAAACCTGATGAAGGAGGAGGTCAAAAGTCTGAGGTCCGTGCATGTAACTCTAAACCAGCCTTTTGTAAGCTGATTCCCCTCCATATGTTTTGGGCTACAACTCTCATCAGTTGCACGGAAGTTGTTGTAGTAGTTTAGTCGTGTCTGACTCTTCGTGACCCCATGGACCAGAGCACGCCAGGCACTCCTGTCTTCCACTGCCTCCTGCAGTTTGGTCAAATTCATGTTAGTAGCTTCGAGAATACTGTCCAGCCATCTCGTCCTCTGTCGTCCCCTTCTCCTTGTGCCCTCCATCTTTCCCAACATTAGGGTCTTTTCCAGGGAGTCTTCTCTTCTCATGAGGTGGCCAAAGTATTGGAGCCTTAGCCTCAGGATCTGTCCTTCCAGTGAGCACTCGGGGCTGATTTATTTAAGAATGGATAGGTTTGATCTTCTTGCAGTCCATGGCACTCTCAAGAGTCTCCTCCAGCACCATAATTCAAAAGCATCAATTCTTCAGCGATCAGCCTTCTTTATGGTCCAGCTCTCACTTCCATACATCACTACTGGGAAAACCATAGGTTTAACTATACGGATCTTTGTCGGCAAGGTGATGTCTCTGCTTTTTAAGATGCTGTCTAGGTTTGTCATCGCTTTTCTCCCAAGAAGCAGGCATCTTTTAATTTCGTGACTGCTGGCACCATCTGCAGTAATCATGGAGCCCAAGAAAGTAAAATCTCTCACTGCCTCCATTTCTTCCTCTTCTATCTGCCAGGAGGTGATGGGACCAGTGGCCATGATCTTAGTTTTTTTGATGTTGAGCTTACGGAAGTTGTAGCCCTAAACATCTGGAGGACACCAGTGTGTGGAAGACAGACCTAAACCATAGTTTAAGCATTAAGTTTGATACAGTCGTTGGATGTGCATATATGTAAATATTTCTTGTATGAATGATTTGTGCACCCAAGTGGCTCGCTGACATACTCATGAGCTGAAGGAAACACGGCAGCTATTCACAGGTCTCCAAAGGAACCCATTGTGTTTATGCTTCTAAAACTAAACCCTTCATAGAATAGGTTTTTGTTTACATGTAGACTGAAGTGTCACTCATTCTCATAATGCCGCATTTATAAAGTGCAAAGAGAAGCAACCTTGAGTAAAAACAGCTGCAATTACTGTGAAATATAGGTGAGGTGTGGGTTTTAAAAATGCATTGTGGTTTAAAAGGTGGAGTGGAATTCTGACCCCACTGAAACTGAAGCTCATGAAAGTCCCATTGACTTTGGTGGAGTCAGGGTCTCACTCCTCCACTCTCCAGGCAATCAGGTTCCACACATATAATTCTCTCTAAAGAGACTGATTCCATTGAAATGGTTCCTGTTGTTCTTTTCTAAGAGGTACTTAACCTGCAGTAACCCTCCCGTCTTTCTCCTATCTTCATTTTGCTGCTCAGTTCCCTTCTCCCTTGTATTACTGAATAATAAATCTGACATAGATTATGTAACATCCACTGAATCATATCAGGCTGTGGGAGGCTGGAGCACAGCATAATGCAAGATGTAAGGAACACGAAAGAGGAGGTTGAGAGACAAGTGTTTTAAAAAGCGTTTCCCGGGTGCTTACAACTTTAGAAACTTGCACAGAGAACAGTTTCTAAAAATGAATTTGCACACATGAAATTACATTTCTTAAATTAGAAAGTTCCCGGAGCCTTTTATCTACTGACCACAAGAAGCTTGGTCAGCTTCTTTGTGAACCATTAAGTTCACCGCCCTGCATTCTCCTTCCAAAGGCCTTCTTACTTGATCCACCGCATAATATCAAAGCCAGAGTCACCACTTACTTCACAATAGCCAAATCAAAGTTAACCATTTTCAGATTTGAAACGATCCATGAATAAGAAGCACTTCAGTGTCCCTGAGTATCATCCTAGCAGACAGGGTGGTTTTCTGGTGACAGACCTTCCAAATCTGCCTTTCACTATGACTGGTATGCAACAAGCTTGCAGCAGTTTGTGTAGGTTGGAGCATCTTTAGCTTCTGTGGAGGTCTTGCAGGCCACAGGTGCTGCAATTGAGAGAAGGAGACACTTGCTTTTCAGGAGACAATTCCATGAGCCAAATCATCAGCATGAGAAAAAGTACAGTGGTACCTTGGTTCTCAAACTTAATCAGTTCCGGAAATCTGTTCCAAAACCATAGAAAGTAATGCAAAACGGAATAATCCGTTCCAGACTTTTAAAAACAACCACTAAAACAGCAATTTAACATTAATTTTACTATCTAATGAGACCACTGATCCATAAAATGACAGTATTGTAGATGATAAAAATTAATTTTTTTTTTCTTACCTGCATTGATGATAGTCATTGTTTGGATGGGGGGCTTTTATCCATTTCCGCAGTCACACAATCAATCAATCAGTAGCTGAACTGGGTTCCACACAGTCACAAAAACAAATTAACCGAAAAAGCCTCAAAAACAAATAGCAAAAACAATAGTGCCAAACTTAATCTGTTCCAGAAGTCCATTTAACTTCCGAAATGTTCGAAAACCAGGGCGCAGCTTCTGATTCGTGCAGGCGCCCCAGAAACAATAGCCGACAGCCACATTGGACGTTCGGCTTCCAAAAAAACGTTTGAAAACTGGAACTCTTCTCGGTTTCCAGTGTTTGGGAACCAAGGCATTTGAGAACCAAGGTGTTTGAGAACCAAATATATATTAAAGGTTTAGTACTAACTGAGTTTGGTGGAGACACTCTAATGGAATGGGGACAGAGCCATATGGAGCGTGTCTGAGGCCTAAGGTGGGGGTCTTGTTAGAATAAAATTATAAATGCATACAGAAAAGCAGCTGGATCTCAGTGTCCAGGCTGAATGATGGGGATGGAGACGCTTCTTCAGGTATATAGGACGGAAGACATTTAGGGCTTTAAAGGTAAGCGCCTTCACTTTGAATTGTGCCTGGAAACATACCGGGAGCCAATGCAGGTCTTTCAGGACTGGTGTTATAACCCTCAAAGCTTTTGCCTGGTGTCTAAAGATATGTAACGAAGGTGCCAGGTGAGCCTCCCTAGGGAGACCATTCCACAAATGGGGAGCTACCACAGAAAAGGCCATTCTCTTGTGTTGCCATTCACTGGATGTCCCTTGGAAGAGGCACACAAAGAAGGGCTTCAGATGATGATCTAAGGGTCCGGATTGGTTCATATGAGGAGAGGCAGTTATTGGTAACTAATTAAGTGCTTCCCATAAAGTATCCCAAAATGATTTAATAATAAAAATAGTTTGGCTTGATTGGAGTACTTCAAAAGCTCTTACTACTTTTGGGGGACAACCACAGGGGTAATCATCCATTCTTTACCTCATTGTCTGTGCCACAGTGATAGGCTTCCTGTTGGCTTGCTTTTCACAGTGCTCCAGTCCTGTGGATAGCTGGAAGGCTGGATAGCTGATATGAACTCAGTGGTAGTCAGCTGACACAAAGGGCCAACAGGGTTTCACCTAGTCCTATAAAGATTCTAACCTAGCTCTTAACCCTGAGGAACCTGTTGACTGGAAACAGGCTGAGGTACTCTCAAACCATCTCTACTGCCCACTGACTTTGCTCACAACTTCACTGCTTCCAGCTTTCTGGCCTCCAGACCGTAAGGCCGGGCAAATACGATCTTGCTTTGCACCTCCTCCTAGTTCCAGAAGTCGTGAAGTCTGATTCATGAAACAGATGTGTATGCATCAGATGTTTTGCTTACACATCCCATAGTATATCTATAAATAACATGATAGTATGTCTTGGCAGATAAAACACAAGAGGAAGGAAAGATGAAGCAAGAACATCTCTCCCTGTGTTTTCTGCAAGGTCAAGTGAGAGGTCACTTCAGTAATGGGGAAGCAAACAGAGGGTATAATAACTCTGCAACAAAATCAACCCAGACCCATACTGGAATGGGATAGGCATCTATTCTGCCTCATTTTAGTCTCTCTGGCACTCAGTCATAGGTCTATCCTGTCTTGTTGCATTCTGTTCCATCCCATTGTATGCTGTTTGTGTGAACTTTGTATGTAAAATGTGCACATTTATGTAAAATGTGCTTTTCAATGTTTTGCATGCATCTTTCATTCAAAAACAAAAAACCCTATCGCTACCAGAAAATCCCAGTTTCTCCACATCTCTCTTTGCAGTTCCCAATGACTTAGGCCATTGAATCCTGTTCAGCCTCACCTCTTTGCTGGCGGGCGAATCTTTGAAGTACATTTCAGTTGTCTTGTAATGACGATGTTTCAAATCCAGTGACCCTGAAATGCTGTCATTCATAAGAAGGTGACACCTAAGCCTGAAAACTCCAAGAGAAAGCCCCAAAGCTATAAGCCAGGCTATTAGAAAAGCTTTCAAATAGCTGCTTCAATGACATATGGTATTTCGGTTTCTGGGTATTCTGCAAATAACCTTGTACTCCACCACAGCAGTTCATTGCCATACTCCATTTCTTGCCACGATCCTGTACCCATCCCTGTCATTTCACACCACACTATATATCTTAATCCTCCTTGTTGTTAATATAGCATCCCTGCCCACCTATCCCCAGCCCAGAAAAGACCGGTCCTTTCAAGCACTCCCTCTGCATAACTCTTTGCTTCTGTGGCACTTGTTCATAAGCAATGGCGATGCCTATAATATTTTTCTCCCTTTAGGCAGTGAGATGCATCGGGGGGGGGAGAGAATAAATGGGTAGAAGTTCCGTGCAGGAGAACACAGGGAAATTGTACCGAGTTGCATGGTTTATAATGTTCACTGAATTCAGCTTATCCCGCCTCAGAACTTTGATCCCCTGGCTGCAGAGTTTTAATTTTGCTTTCTACAGCCCTGTTTATCAGCCACAGAGCTCTGTGACCATTCAAGCTGAAGTCTCTAGGCAAAGTCTGAAGTTTCCTCCAAGAGCTGCCAAGTTGCATTTGAAACTGACGAGGGAGAAAGGAAGATTAGTCAGTTCCAGAGACTGCGGCAGTCCATCTATGTGTACTGATTTTTGAATCACACAACTTTGTGCAACTGCAATGGCAGTGTGGTGTGTCGCTCATCCTCAGTGTTGCCGCTAGCAGTGTGCAAAAGGTGTCTCTCGTGTGATATCCATGCAACCATACTCCCAACAGTGCTCCAGATTGCAATGGACTCTGCAGCTGAGAGAAACTATACATACACTCAGCAGCAGCAATCATTTACTCAGCATTCAAAGTGCAAACAGAAGGTTGTCGCAGTCATGGAACCACATTCCTGACTGTACTTTAGGTCACTGTGGCTTTTGCAGCCGGCGCAAAATGTCCCATATTCCTAGCAATACAATTGTACTTTCCCAGCCATTCAAAATGCAGCATCTCTATAATGAAGAGATGGGATTTCCTAGATGGGAGATGTTTGGATCCTACACAGTAGATGAGCAGTAACCACACATTTGTTGTGAATTAAATGGATCATTTGGTGAAGCTTGAAATCCACATTGGCAAAAAGACACAAGCACACACACATTTTATCTGCACAACAGCCTTGTGGGTATGATAGCCTGTGACACAGAGAGAGAGAGAGAGAGAGAGAGCGCGTTTCAAGGTTGAGTGGAGATTTGAACCCTGGATCAGCCCAGTCTTAGTCTGATATGTCAACCATTATGAACAGATATGTACATATGACACCTCAAAAAAATTAGTGCACAGCTTACCTGAACCATGGGGGAAAGCTGCTTTGTATATTATTGTAAAAAGATGGAGTATAAGTTTTTGTTATCATCATCAGTCTAGTATTACTAAAGTCTCTGACTTGATGGCACCAGTGTTCATTTTAGTGTTTATTGAATAATGCAGGAATTGATTCTACAGTTCTCCGTTTGCAACCATAATGCATCTACATACCTCAGCAGACCTCTGAACCATCACAAGATTCTCCATCAGCTCCTTAAAAGAGCAACTTATTTAGCTGTTACAAGCAAAGGAATGTTTAAAATCTGGTTGCGTACTTGCATCTCTCTTGAGTCGAACAATGACGTCTGTTTCAGTCAACTGCTTGGTGTTCTGGATGAAGATAAGCTTTTGGAAACGTACATTTCCAGGTGCTTTCTTTTGCAGTTCTAATTCAGCCAGGCAGCCCATCTGACTGCCAGTGGCCTATGTGTATTGGAAATACAGCTCATGCTAGTCTCCCACCCATCTGCACAATTTGCAGAGATTACACCTGAACCAGCAATTGGCTGCCCAGGTAAGCTCCCACTTTTTGATGTGAGGAAGGTTATTGCCTCTTCCAGGTAGACTTTCTTTACTTGTGATCACTCCTGCATCCAATCAGGAGCATGAACAGCTTGTTTATAGATGTCCTGGGGTGGAGTTAAGGGTCAAGGTTAGGATGCAAGGGGAAGTAACACAGGGAAGGGAAATGGTTCTGTGAAAAGTAGAAGTGCATCACCCTTGGCCGTTATCACATTATTGAATCCTCCCTTTTTTCCATGATGAAACTCAGGACAGAATATATAGAATTCCCAGGAGATTCCTCCATCCAGGAATTGACATCACATCCAGACCAGCTTCTATAGGGGTGTCACTGGAAAAAAACTAGTTTGGGGAAGGGGAAGAGTGTCAAAAAAAGCCATTCTGGCCAAGCTAAGCCTCCTGATGTATATTTTCCCTCCTAATCTGTATTTTAGTTTGGTCAGAATCAAGTATACACTTCCAAAGTTAACACTAAATAAATTTGTGTCCCTGGGTTTTAGACTCACCTACCCATGTACTAGGGATGCGGGTGGCGCTGTGGGTCAGGGGTCCCTTTACCTTTACCCATGTACTATCTGAAACCCAAGAGGCACATTGGAGGGATGCGGGTGGCGCTGTGGCTTAAACCACTGAGCCTAGGGCTTGCCGATCAGAAGGTGGGCGGTTCGAATCCCCGCAACGGGGTGAGCTCCCGTTGCTCAGTCCCTGCTCCTGCCAACCTAGCAGTTCAAAAGCATGAAGTGCAAGTAGATAAATAGGTACCGCTCCGACGGGAAGGTAAACACCGTTTCCATGTGCTGCTCTGGTTCGCCAGAAGCGACTTCGTCATGCTGGCCACATGACTCGGAAGCTGTACGCCGGCTCCCTTGGCCAATAAAGCAAGAAGAGCACTGCAACCCCAGAGTCGTCCACAACTGGACCTAACATTCAGGGGTCCCTTTACCTTTACCCATGTACTATCTGAAACCCAAGAGGTGCCTTGGTTGCCAGGTGTTTCCCCCCAGCTCTTCTACCCCACTATTGCTCCTTGAACACAATTGGGATTTACTATTCCTTTTGCAAGTGGAGATGGATCCACCCCTTGGTCTATCTTGAGTGGACCTGCAAACACTGGAGCCTGTTTCATCGCCCCAAAGCCCAGAGTCTGATGGCTGGTCCACAGGGAATAAGAGACTCATGAGAAGAGATACCCCTAAGGAGAAACTGAAAGGTCCAAGATTACCAAGGTAAGAAGGTAGCTATTTCTCTAAAATGGGCATGTTTCCATATCCCTTTAGTAGGAAGGGATGTGAGGTCAGGTTGCAAAACTACATTTAGAACAGGGGTGGGGAATTTGAGGGTTGCATTTCCTTGGGGAAACGTGAGTAGGGTGGACCACATTCATGATGGGTGGGGCTGGATTTGGTGGTGGGTGGCGGCCAAGCCCAAAGTGGGTGGGGCCATGTCTCTATCTTCTAATCTCAGCAGTATAAGAAGGAGCTGTACTGCAGGGACTCCTCCCATACCTTAAATGTCACAGGGGAAAGACGCCCTCATGAAATCCAGGGCCTTTTGTAGCACCATGGAGGCTTTAAACAAACTAAGCTTAAAAAGTTGCATTGCTGGGATTGACTTACATAGTCAGCTTTCCTCCTTTTTGAAACAAAGGCATGGCGGCAGTAGCAGCAGCAACAGCAGCAGCAGACGCTATGTTAATTAGATTAGAAACCGTCAGGTCTTGTTGATAGTATTCAAGTTACAGAAGGCTCTCCAGAGACAAAGCAGTAAATAAGAAATATCTGCTATCTCTTGGCATACAGAACAACTCGAAGGAAGCATCTCTGCATCTTTGGCTGGGTACCGATAACTGCAGCAGCCTGCAATCCTGCACATAGTTAGGTGCTTAAATGCCGTTGAAACCAGAGGCTGTTAAGCAGCTTGAATGTATGCAGGATTGCAGCCAGTTGCTTCTCAGAAGCCAGACATTGGCATAATGCGCTTACAGTGGGCATAGTTCACGTGTGCTTGTTTGGGGGCACTGTTATATCTGGTCAAAGAGGTTTTGTACATTTTTGAAGCACTAAAAAAACTTGCGGTACCTGTTGAATTGGAGACAAATTGAGGTGGGAGAAATTCCCTGGCATTTTAAAGAATAAATCTTATGTTTTGTTTTGTTTCCCCCCATTTTTTTTAAGGCATTGAAAACTGGATAGAGCAGCTCAACAGCAGTCTTAATATTGAATATGCTCAGTGTGGGGACCTCATAGGAAGACACAAAGACTGATGCTCTAGCGTGTGCTCTCTCGCTCCCCCTCCCTCACCTAGATCACAGCTGGTGACCAGTTTATGTATACTGAAGCGGGGAGCCTGATAGGCTTTGTAATGTCATCCTAGATAGCTTCACCATTGATGTTTCCCCTATGCATAGACATGCAGAGAGTGACATCAAACGCTGGCTGTCCCTGTGCCGTTATTTTCAAAAGGACAGAAAGTCTTGATGGTTGCATGCTGCGGTGGTAACCTATAGGCTGGCTTCTGGGTTCAAGGGCATTCGCAGGTTTTCAAAGAAGTTCGTCTCCGTGTCACATCCGCCGCATCCAGCAACTCAGAATACACAAATGCCCTGCAAAATCTGCAGAGCTGCCGGTAATTTATGGCAATAGGGTTGCTTGACATTTATTGCCCTTATTTGCTGTGGCCTAGAATAAGATTTTCATAGTTATCATGACAACCTTGAAATTGCATAAAGGTAATAAAACAGCCTTCTTCCATGCTACCGTGTGCCAAACTACACAGGCGTGTGTCAACAGTCCTGTTTTAACATTTGCATGCCTTCGTTTTTATGCATATATGCCTGGAAGCTTAGTCAAATAACTCCTAAGCATAGTTATTAAACAAAAAAATGGGGACGTGAAAATAAGCATTGCCACTTGTAAGCTGCACCAGCATATTAAATGTGTGTTCATTAACAAAAAAATAAATTAAAAAGCGTGAGTGTTTGTGTCCCTCGGGCAATGGTAAGCTGCATGGATTTGTGCTCCTAAATGCTCTCTTAACTTGGTAAACGTTTCTGTACATGATAGCCATCTTCAAATATCTAAAGGGCTGTCACATGGAAGATGGAAGAAGCTTGTTTTCTTCGGCTCCAGAGGGTAGAATCTGAATCAATGGCTTCCAGTTAAAAGAAAGGAGATTCCGACTAAACAGCAGGAGGAAGTTTCTGATGGTAAGACTGTTTCACAGTGGTACAGACTCCCTTGAAAGGTAGTGAACTCTCCTTCCTTGGAGGTCTTTAAGCAGTGGCCCTTTGTCAGGGATGCTTTAGTTGAAATCACTTCATTGCAGGGCTCCTTCCCAGCTCTGTGATTCTGCCTTAAAACCAAGGTACATTTCTTTCGGTATTGCAGATGGGATCACCCAGAATTCCAGAGCAAGGAACATAAAAAGCACATTTGCAGGGCTCTGATTTATGTGCTCTTTTGTTTATTTACTTGCTTACGAGTCAAATTACAGCAGTACATGTGGAAAGGACCTAGGTGTTTCAGCTGATCACAAGCTGAACGTGAGCCAGCAGTGCAATGCAGGTGATGACTGCGGGGAGGCAGACAGGTTACACAGAGCAAAAGAAAATTTGGTTTTGGAAACCCGGTTTCCTTTCACTACATCCACCAGTAGTGAGTCTGGCAGAAGTGACTTTTTCACTTGCAGAACGGTGATTTGAAAAACATTCATTTCCCTGGAACAAAAGGTTTTGCATTTCCTCATCGAGATGTTGCAAACATAGTTTCAGCTGCCATACCGCATTTCACTTGCTAAGTGTATATGCCCTATTTACATGATGGAATATTCTGCAGCGGGTAGATTTGGCTTCCAGTATGTAAGTATTATCAAGCAAAAACCACAACAGTTGTATGATAAAGAGGAGTTATGCCTTGTTTGTTGGCAAGAGAACACACCTTTCTGTGGGTTTCTTTCTTTCTTTTTAAAAAATGCTTCTGTAAGAGTTGTCATGCCAGCAGATCTGCCTGCTAAAGCAGTGGTTCTCACCTCAGCAGGTGCACAAAAAAGTATAGGTAATTATACGTTTGAAACATAGCTTTTCAAGGCACCTCTTACACACAGCTCACTCCTCTGCTTCTTGAACAGTGTAATCTAGGTAACATAGGCTGGGCATCAGGATGCTGAGTCTCATAGTTGGATGCAAGGCTGATGCCTACATTCAGGGGGAAAACCCACACAGTACAACCATCTTTGGACTACCAAGTCAGAGTGCAGGTATTTGAACACATCCCTGCATTGAAAGCTCTCTGCCCATGCTAGGGATCCAATTTGTGCTGCATTCCCTTAAGGGCAGTTGCTGGACTCTCTCCCTGCCCACTTCCTCTTCTCCTGTGGTCTGGGACACAAGTAGGTAACCTGTAGCCTTTGGGCTACATTTGACTCTTGTCCTAGTTTCAAAGCCCCTGGAATGCAAGTAGAACCCTCTGCACAGGGGACCCTGATTAGCTCCCGGATCATAGAATTGTGGAGTTGGAAAGGGCCCAAAAGGCCATCCTATTTTGCCCCCTGCAATGCTGGAAGGCATTGCACTCTAGTCAGGTGTGTAGGTAGGGGTGGTGGTGGGAGCGGTCCGCACCAGGTGCCATCTCTGAGGGGGGTGACAAAAAGGCACACCGCAAGGGGCTCGCCCGCTGCCCCTGGACATGAGCCACTGCTCTCGGTGCCCATGCAGCTACAGGTGAAACTCAAAAAATTTCGAGTACACCGTGATAATCACAATTATAAGAAATAAAGGTTTGACATATCTCACTTTGCATGTCATGAGTCTATCTCATATATTAGTTTCACCTTTTAAGTTGAATTACTGAAATAAATGAACTTTTCCACGATATTCTAATTTTTCGAGTTTCACCTGTAACTCTGCCACTGACTAGTGAATATGAATAGGGCCCCTTTCCCACTCAAGATGGGGAAGGTCGAGGACAATACGCATAGGGAAGTTGAGGAGAGGGTCTGCATGTGCACAGCTGCCTCCCATTCATTGATGCAACATTTGCAATGATGATGTCCATTTGGATTGCTACTGCAGATTTTCACCGACTCTGGTTGTTGACATTGCACTGAGGAGAGGAAGGAGACGGAAAGTGAGGGCAGCAACAGTGTGCTAGGCTTTCAGAGCAAGCCCACCTCAGTCGGAGAGGATTTCCCCCTTCTCTTCCTTTTTTTGTGCTATGGGTTCACTCTGCTCTTTATTCCACACCTTCCAAATTCCAGATTAATGTGAAGTTTATTCTAAACTTTGTTTTGGAATTGGATCCAGACCAGCTTTCAATTACTTCAGGGAATTTTCATCCTTTGGCCTCTGTACATTATTGATATACACATAGAATTCCTACCCACTGCCTTACAATTAAGTGGTACAGTGGTACCTCGGGTTAAGTACTTAATTCGTTCCGGAGGTCCGTTCTTAACCTGAAACTGTACTTAACCTGAAGCACCACTTTAGCTAATGGGGCCTCCTGCTGTCGCCGCGCTGCTGGAGCCCGATTTCTGTTCTTATCCTGAAGCAAAGTTCTTAACCTGAAGCACTATTTCCAGGTTAGCAGAGTGTGTAACCTGAAGCGTATGTAACCTGAGGTACCACTGTATATAACTTTTATGAAAGAAAAAGAGAGACAAAAGACAGAGAAAATACAGCCAAGGGAAAACTTATTGTATGATTACATGTACAACTGGACCAAGAATTTTTTTCTGCAGTATTCTCCTAATGTGCATATACACTCCTGTGCACTGGGAAAAAACCTACACTCAAAGAATCTTGGTGCAACTGTACCCAGAATCTGTGCTGTGCTTTAATAATGCGCATGCACACAGCCATAGTGTGTACATGTGCAAATTCATAGAAACTGAAAGAGCAAGCATTATGGCAAACTACATGCACAATGCTCCATATAAAATTAAGAATTTGTGGGACAATTTAGATGAAGAGAATTTGAGAAGCATTCCAGGCCTCAGTGTGGGGAGAAGTTTCTCTCAACACTTCCGGTGCATGCTGTTATATCCCTCCAGGAGTCCTTGCCAAGTTGCCACATTTCATTTATTTCTACAATTTGACAGCAACCTTATTTTCAGGTGGAAATGCAATTAGCCTATTTTCGCTTTGCCTTAAATACTGCTTGAAATGAAATGGGTGAAAAGCCAGTATCTCCAGCCACTGTTCCTACATCCCATTTTGTTTGCTCCGGGAGAATTGGAAACAACAATAGCAGACAAAATGCTAAACTGAATTTCGTTAACAGGAGCTTTTATGAATAAAAAGTCTTGAGATTTTTTTTTAAAAGAAAAAAACTGCACGTGGGAACACAATGTAGAATCACATACAATAGAAAGCCATTTTCCTGTGAATAGTAGAAATCGCTCCATTTTCCTCTGTGCTGCCTTGCTGCAGACAGAAACATGATCTCATATCGTTTCACCAACAGGCTTCGTTTTCCTCCCATGCAAAACCAAAAGTGTGTGTGTCTTGGGGGAGGGAAATTGCTAAACTTCCCAACAGGGCTCACGCATGTGAATATTTTTGAATTAGCTCTGATAACCTAGGTTGTGTTTGACTAAAACTGGAGGTTAGGCTCTACTGTCAGCCTCAGACTTACTTTTGCACCCTAAATGGTGTGAAAAGGGGAGGGAGCCGAATAGTGGCAGAAGTGCTAATGCATTTTGTTTGAAGTGTGGATATGAGAATGGAAATACGAGCTGGAGTGCAACGATGTAGAAAGGCATAAAAGCAAGCTTCTTGGCCTTATTTTCCTTTAGTGGAAAAATAATTATAACTCTCCCTAAAGATAACAACACTGGTTTTCGTTTTTTTCTGACACAGATAGTATTCTTACATATATTATGTGGGGTTGTTGTCTTGTGTGTGTATGAGAGAGAGAAAGGGAATTTAACTGGAGTTTGTAAAAACAAGCTCCACAAATAGACAGGAGGAGATATGTCATTTCATGATCCACACATGGCTTTTTGCCAGTAATGAGTGAGTGCAATTACCACCCATTTCTCCCCCACTTTAATTAGTGGGGGGGGGGGGACTTATCTGAAAGGACCATGTGGGTTCTTTTCATGGTGAAGAAGTTTCTGCCATCGATACTTCACAATGGGAAAAGATCCAAGTTGTTTAATGATAAAGCTGAATTGATCGTTTTAACAAGACATTCCAAAAATGATGGCTTCAAGTCAAGTTGCCTCTGGAGTTGGGCGTTGATGGAAATAAGGGAGGCTGTTGCACTCTCCTTCAGAGACATCTGCCACCACAGTGGCTGTGCTTGGAAACACATGCAAGGTTTGTTTATTATCGTGGGTTTTATTTAAATGGGCAGCCTGCCTTTCCCACACAATGGTGCCCAAGATGGCTAACAGCAAACAACCTTCAAACGCAGCATAAAACGGTATATAAAACAAGAGAAAGGCTTGTGGCAACGGTATATAAAACAAGAGAAAGGCTTGTGGCAACTTAAAGACCAAGAAATTATTGTTGTGCACTACCCAAATCTCAGAGTGGTGTGAGATCCCAGGGGTACCAGTGCTTACCCAGAGTTTGGCTTCCCTGCAATGAGGGGCAGCGAAGACTTTGGGATATATGGTTTTATTTCTACATCTTTACAACCTGAGCATAAGATGGGATGGGCTCATAGCATTAACACACCAACATCTTGTTTCTCCGTTAGTCGCAGCTTTGGTTCCAGCACAGAGCAAGCATGCCTCTGTGTCTCCATCTTCCAGCCTGGTCCCAGCTCAGCTCATCCACACTACTCTGGCTATTGTTCTCCTACCTAGCAGCTTGTACATCTCCTTCTGGTAACTCCTGCAGCCAAGCTGATGCCAAATGTAATGTGCTATGTACTGAAGTTCTCACCCTGGGCCAGCAGGGGGATACCGTAGATAATTTTCACTCAGGTCCACTGAGATGGGATGATGAGCTGCTTGTGCGTA